ACGCACTACCCAACATTATTATTATCAGACAAAGAATTCTGCATAAACAACAAAGCCACAGAAGGATTGAAAATGTCATTAATATTTTCAAAACCCAAGATGTCCCGATAATACTGTGTTCATTAAATGCAACCTGTAGAGGAATAAGGTAGCTTTCATATGTTATATTACAAATGAAAAGCATGTTATTTCTCACTTTGGCAAGCTTGAGATTGACAAGGTCAATTAAGCTATTTGCAACAAAAACATGTTGGCTTATAATTTAATGGTAAATGTAGACTTTTCTGCAAAACAAGATCAACCACATAGCTGATTTGACATTAATATTGTGGACTGAAAGTTGAAAGCACTTTATCATGTAATTCTGAAAATAAGGAGAATAAATTAACTAACCCACTTCCAGGATTCCAGAAGGGATATGACTGGGGAATGGTTGTTGAGAAAGTGGAAGAGAACAAATTGAGAAAATCTGGTGTGTACTGGGATAAATAATACGATTCACAGTTGCAAAAATTCCTAGCTAAATATTGTGCAGTGTAAGATCTCCAATTTTCTCCATCTTTTCTTAAAAAATTGCTTAAGATATACAGTGTAAAAAGATAAATGACTAAACGATCAAAAAACAACCTACTACATTGTTGACAGAGAAGAGAAAAAGATGATGGAGAGAGGTTGAAGATGAGATGCTCACCGGAGTGGACTGCCTGTTGGTGCCTGGATTGGCTGATCGCGAGCGCTGGACTGGTTGATCGCGAACGTTGGCGTTCTGGGCTGATCGCGAACGCCTGGAGCTTAGAGGGGAGGTTGGAGCTTGGAGGGGAGACTGTGGATCTGATTTGTTGGTGGCGTGGTGGAGGGGAGGTTGTGTGTGGTGGAACCGTGGAGGGGAGGCTGGAGCTTGGAAGGCTGGAATGGAATGGAACGATTGATTTAGGGCAGCAAAAGGGGAAAAAATAAATGGGGAAGGTAAAAATTCTGATATTTATAGAATTTAAATATAATCATTCGGTTTTTGTAAACTCATCCGGTTCTCATGGTTCACCGATTTTTTGACCGGTTTCACAGGTTAACCCTGGGTTCTGTACTGAAACGGTTTTTAATTCAAACCGGACCGGTTAGAAGACCGGTTCACCGGGTCACCGGGTTGACCCGCCGGGCCGGGCCGGGTTTTAAAACAGTGGTCCTACGGTCAAGTAACTATGAATAATCTTCGGCAACTTCTTCATCGAAAATTGCAGGTGACATTCATTTTTTGTTTTTTTGTCATTCATTAATTTTTTTCCACAATCTGTGTTGTTTGATTTTTTGGTTAAAAATAATTACGTAACTATTTTAAATAACTATTTGAGATTATAAATTGTAAACTGTTAATATTCAAAAATTAATAGTTGAAACAATATTGACACAATTACATCCATTAAAAACACAGTTACACCCATTAAAAAATAATTACAACTATTAAAACACAGTTATACCCATTAAAACAAAATCAATTTTTTCCCCTTCATTCCAATATCGAGCAAACATAAAATAAAATCGAACATAGGAATTTTCCAAAAAAATGACCGATTAAAAGAAGAAATATACTTATTATGTCTATACAAAAAAATAGTTACACCCATTAAAACTAGTTATACCCATTAAAACCAAAAACAGTTTTTTTTTCCCCTTCATTCCAACAACGAACAAAACATAAAACAAAATCAAACATAGCCATTTCCAAAAAAAAATTAACCGAATAAAAGAAAAAATATATTTATTATGTCTATAGGAAAAAATAGTTACACCCATTAAAATCAAATGCAATTTTTTTTCCCTTCATTCCAACAACGAACAAACATAAAACATAATCGAACATAGGAATTTCCAAAAAAAAATAACAAAATAAAAGAAAAAATATAATTATTAACAACTAATCTTTAAGCCGATGACGATGATTGATATTTGCAATTCCTTTTTTCGAATAAATCCACCACCAGAGAAGTAAATCGACCGTTGAATAAGACTCTTACTGCCAAGATCAGATAAACACAAACGTTGAAGAAGATTTTCACTGCAAAGATCAATTTTTTTTTTAAACAAACTACATAGACATTTGAATATTTTTTGTGTTATTGCATAAATTTTTTGTCTTACTGCAGAGATCAATTGAACACAGACTTTTACTGCATACAAAACTGCTCATTCAAAATTCAAAAATTAAAGATAACAAATATGTAATCTTTACATATTTGTTTCCTCAAATAATTGTCAATGGTGACTACATAAATTAAGGAAAGACCTTTAAGTAAAAAAGATTTAATTCATTTGAATTTTGTACCTAAATACAAATTTTTTTATAAAAATTGTACATAATAGAATAAACAACTTATCCATATATTTTTGTCTAAATAAGTCTAAAAAATTATACCTACACCTTAAACAACGCTTAAATTTCAATCATATCCTTTTTAGTTTGTTGTATATTTATGAACACCTCATTTATTTTTTAAATCTTCACTGATATCCCTATTAGATTAAAAATGTTAACTATAATGTAATTTTTCTAAATTACTCATGATATATTTTAGAAAAAAATTTCATTCACACCCCCTAGACAGACATATCTTCAATAATACTTCTCTGTTTTTTAAATTTTTTTACTTATTAAAATTCGGATCAATTAAAATTTGATTCGAACTAATTAAAATTTATTTTTTATGTACTAAAAGTTGATTAGAAATTATATTTTTTTATGTATTAAAATTTGAGCTAATTAAAATTCTATTGGAGTCGATTAAAATTTATTTTTAATTGGCTCGAATTAAATTATAATCAACTCGCATTGAATTTTAATAAGTCCAAATTTTGATACATAAAAAAATATAAATTTTAATGGATTTAAATTTTAATACTTAAAAATGAATTTTAATTAACTTGAATCACATTTTAATTGACACTAATTTTAATGAGTGAAAAAATAAAAATTTTAATTGACATAAAATGAATTTTAATCGGTACTAACAACTCAGGTAAAACTCAAATCTATTCGAATTTTAATACATAATTTTTTTTTAATATGTTCGAATGTTAGTAAGGAAAAACAATTAAAATTTAATCAACTCGAATCGAATTTTAATATATTTAAATTTTAATATGAAAAAATAAATTTTAATCGTTCAAATTTTAATCGAATTTTATATAAAAAGATTATTTGGGGTTTATGTAAGAGTAATTTTGGTATTTTTGCAAAAAATTTTTTGTTAAAAACAGTAGTTTAATGGTAGGGGTGTCAGTGATGTTTTGAATAATAGATGAAGTATCTTTGAAAATATAATAAACTAGAAGAGTGTGACTAGAATTTTCCCTTAATATGAAATACTTATCAGCAAAACACGTTTTTTAAGTGAGTTGTTGTGGTTAAAAAATTAAAATTTAAGTAAGTAACTGTAATTAAAAAATTAAAATTTTAGTGAGTTACCGTCGTTAAAAAGTTAAAATTTAAATAAGTTATCGTAATTAAAAGGTTAAAATTTAAATTTAAATGAGTTCCCGTGATTAGAAAGTCAAAAAGTAAAATCGCAATATAAACAATCGAATTTAAATAATTTAGACTGTTGTTTATGTTTTTCTAAGTGAAGAGTTTAAGTAGTTCAAACATATAAACAATCTAAACCATTGTTATGTTTTTATAAATGAAGAGTTTAAACCGCTCAAACAAGAGGCTTAGTTATTATTATTATAGAGTAGAAAATACAACACAATCTAAATAAAATCTAAAAATTATAACTCAAATATACATATCATCTCTTGAATAAATGTTGAATGAGTGGATCCCATTTAAAAAAAATTGATAGGACCTACTCATCCAAGAGATAATATATATGTGAATTATAATTTTTTTGAATTTCATTTGAGTTGTCTAACGATCCGTGAAAAAGAAATTACAGGTAATTTCTTGGCAGTTTGGTTCAGACTAGTGTTATGTACATTGATGATTGATGGAGTCATCAAGAAAGGCATTCTTGGGTTTTTTATTATTTTCTAATTTTGATCATTCTTGGCAGTTAAGATAATCAGTGTGTGGGTAATGCAGATATTATAAGAACCGAGAAGAACACAACTGAACCAGTGGTTTCCCAATTCCCCTGGTTTCGGGCCGGTTGGCTGTTCCGACCCGTGCCATGGCCTGGACCACAGGTCACTAGTATTCTTTATTTCTAACTGAAAGCCAGCCCTTAGGCCTTAACTACCAGCTCTCAACTAATGAAACTTCATTGCACTGTGGGGCTGCAGCGTTTGTGTGTGTGTAGGAGGGTGGGGGTGTTTAACTTTTTTAAGATCAAACTCTGAATCTAACTAACAAATCTCGACAATATAACCAAGGAACGAAAAATCACCGCTGACAATGTATATAAATTGACTTTTTAGGAAACCAGTCTATTTTGTAATTTTTTCAATTTCATTGAAAACTTTTTCCTTATTTCATTTGCTCATACATGCCAATAGAATAAAGAAAATCTGGCCGCCTTGGTCAAGTGATCGAATGAGGGACAACCTCTTTTTTTCAATAGAAATTGGAGATAGGAGAACGAAAAAGGAAGAAAAAATGAACAACATGAGCAAGAGAAGAGTCAACACACGTTAAGGGAATTCTTTAAAAGCTAAAAGCACAAAGCAAACACTTCAATAGCATAGCAGCTCCAAGACACAAAAGATCAAACAACTGTGGAACAATTTAAAAGTGGACAAATCTACTGTAGAGAAGAAAAATCCAAAGGGGATAAAATATTAACTCAAGGTTTTGCAAAAACTTGAGGAATCATTGTGTACATAACATGGACTTACATCTTTCAGGTTCAAAGCTGTTTGAACAACTAATCCTGAGAATTAGGAAAGTGAGAAAAAATTTCGGACAACTCGATAAAAACCATGATGAAGGAACACCACTTTTGAGTTATGTTTCAAACATTTTAGAGGAACACAGGTAGATGAAAGGCGGACCCAGCAAGCAATTCACCTCAACTTTGTTCACCATTCTTCTGGTCTGCATATAAGTCCTGCATGAGGTAAGTATTCTATTGATAATTTTAGACAGCAAGCAAATGTGCATTAGCAACATGGAAGGAAAATTTTCAACGTAGAAGAGTGAGGCAACCTTCTTACCCATTTATCTTTCTCTGCCAACTTCAGTGTCTGGGCATGCCTGAAAACGTTGTTGAAAGTGCTCTTGATATTTTCATCTTTCCATCTTAGATTGCTCCACCATTCTATCTCACCTCTGATTTCTGTAATAGTTGCTGCATTGCAGACTGAGAGAGGGAGCTGTTTCAACATGGGGCAGTTGCTTACTTCTATGTGCTGCAAAATTGGCCAAGCTGATGTTCTGCAACTAATAGTCCTCAAATTGATCATGTCCTTAATTTCTATAACTCTCAACTTTGGAAGAGTTTTTTTTCAACTTCCCTCCCATGATAATGGTTGTCATTCTTTCACAACCACTTACCCTGATCTCTTCAAGGTTTTGGATCTGCTGAAGCAGACCATAAGAGATGACGACCTTCAATCGTGGACAATCCACCACTTCTATCGTTTTTAATCTGCCAAGGCTTACTCTATTTGGGACCATCCCATCCAAAATGGTCTCCAAATTTCGTAAGCGATTGATCACTAAACGCTTTAAATTTGGCAACATACTCCCACGAATATTCTGTCCTCTAATTAATTTAGTGATTTCATCGCAACTTGTTATGGTGAGTAATTTCAAGCTAGGTAAGCCACCCCAACTACTCCTGCCAAATGCTTCAGGTAACCCACTTATGCCTCCACAAGTAACCAAGTCTAGGGCACTTGCATTGCATAACACCCCCTTAAGGCCTCCTTCCATGAAATCGACTCCTCTGAGAATCACTCTTTTCTCATCATATTGAGTGGGGACATAGTTTGGGCCACAGCTTCTTGGACTGATCCAGATATTGAACTTGCTCAATTGTTTCAACCAAGCTGAGTTTGAGGCAAGGCAATTGACAGTATCTAGCCTTATATGAAGAATTGAAAGGCCC